GTAGTCCGGGGGCAGAAGGGGGGGAGGGCGGGGGGGGCATATTATGGCAGCAACCTTTCAGTCAATCTGGATTAACTCGCACTGAGCCCTGCGTCGCCAGCAAAACCCCGTGAAAGCGATACGAACATCTGGCTGAATTCAGCACAGCACCAGTCACTCACACAGCGCTGTAGATATTAAAGCAGACTGTCGCTACAAAGGCGTTTTCTCTCTTCTGGAGGTGCATACAGGCGGATGCGCAGTAGAGGCGATCCCGCACAGCTGCAGCCTCGAAGCCACACCGGGACCCTTCAGGTTGCGTTTTCCAGTTTTTTTTTTTTCTCGAAAGGAGGGACGCCGAGTTACATCTTTCCCGTGCGAGGGGATTGGAGAGGAGTCGTCCTTTATCTGCTGGTCATGGATTTCTTGAAGGGCATCGCTGGTTTCGCAGGCCGTCACATGTTATAGGAGCCAAGACGCGTGTTTCGGGACACCTGAATTATCTCCAAGAAAGCACCGTCGGTCCCATTTTAGGCAAGACGCTCTCAGAATGCTCTCAGTCCTCCTGGGAGGAAATCAGCTCAAACGCACCCTCCTCTAACTTGGCTTCATGTTTCATCTGCAAGGTAAATGCAATATTTTTATAGGCTGCAATTGGTGTGAATTGTAGCCTCTGAACTCTTTTGGGGGTGGTGGGGGGGGGGACGGTCTTTCAAGAGGCGCAATATTGACTTGAAGTACTTCTCCCAGGACCCATCTGAAAGGTTCAGATTTTCCATTGTGACAGGGGTTGTGGCTGTAACCCACCAGCCCAGGACCTGTACCGCAAGGTCAAAAAAGCTCCTCAATTGCCAAGGAACGCCGTCAGATAGCAGTTTTATTCTTAGTATCCACTTCTGCAGTCTGTGCTGTTTTTTTCATCTCCCTACAGGTGACACTCAGAATCATGCCTAATGTGGCCATTATTCAGCCCTCTCTCCCGGATTCGTGCAGGATAAGATTGATTTCAGATGTGAGATGTTTTATTGTGTATTTTATCAGCACAGAGGATCCAGTGATAGGCTCTCTGCTCTCTCTGTGGTTAAACCCTAGCTGATTTGCAAATTACATCTCAGTCATTAAGGTGTGATAAAGTCTAAATTAGCCTAAGTAACAAAATTGATAATAAGATGAGTGTGTGGGCAGGGGGACGTGTTGCCAGGTGACTGATGAAGACAGGTGAAAATATGGTCTCTGATTTTTTTTCACCAAGGATGAGGTATAATGGTATTGTCTTATGTCGAGTGTTAGTTATCACATATCTTGTTATTCATGAGTGCCTGAGGCACCATTGTAACTGCTACACCAGTGAAATCAGGCCCACGCCTCATTTTGCTGCTTCTATTTGCTCTTACTGCTATGTTAATGCACTCAGTGATGTAGCTCGAATGCTGCTACCTTTCACTGATAGCAGGGGAGTGATATGTGGTTCCTGAATACCGAGGCTTTTCTGCAGACCAGCTCGACATTCACTGACCCAAATTTTTACTCACCACAAAATAAGCTTTTGTTTTTGCTGAAGAAGTGCTTTCATTATTACTTGAAACACATTATTTGACAGTCACAAACTTGCACACTCACACACCTAGTCCACATGTTGTGTATGTGAGTTGCTTTTTGATTACACAACACAATAAAGAGAGAGAAGATTATGCATTATTTAGCCTTTTTGTTGCTGTGCGAGGTAAAACACAGGATCCTGAGGGTCTTTGAAATAGGGAAAATGAATCAGTGGATACAGTGAGTGGATTTCATTTTGGCTGTCTTTATTCCCCACATTGAGGCTGTTACATGAAAAAAAGTCCATGTAACAGAGAATAGTATTTTCACAAAGAGAGGTACAGAATTAGCTTTTTCTTACACTTCTGTATCTGGAATTGCACTTGGGACTTGGCATATTTGAAAGTCTACAGACCTGCGGGCCCATTCTGTGGAGAATATTCACTTGAGAAGGCCGTATTGATATTCAGAGGTGGTGTTCACAGATTCTGCATTCCTCTTTCTGGAAGAAAATCCCCGGTCATAAGCCCCTCACATCAGGGCACGTCACAACGGCGCAAGAGTTAAGATCCAAAGTCAGTGATCAGCATTTAAATTTGGCCTTTTCAGCCTGCTTTAATGCAAGAAGACAGCATCTAAAATATGAGAGAGTGTGAATATGAGTGTTTGTTTGTTTATTTGTTGGACTGATGCTCCAGTCAGGAGATATACAGCATATCAAGGTTTCACAAAATTTTCCTGTGATAGTGTGTGGAGGAAAACACTTGGAATTACAAAGGGGAGTTGTAAATGCTGATGAACAGCACTTCTATTGATGCAGTGGGGTCTGCTTAGTATGCTATCCCCCTGGCACACACACACACACACACACACACACATTCCCGCACAAGCTTGTCCGAGTAAGAAATAATTTCAACTATATCAGAGTTCTACATCAAGTCATTTAGGTTTTTATTATGTGCCAGACTGGAAAAACTGTAATGATTCAGTCACTCCAAACACTAACTCCAATACAAAATTAGCTGAGTGTAAAATCTGCTCTCTCCTCATCACGACAGGGTCATAAATGGTAGGCTACAATGAGCCTGCTCAAGCCCGCAACCAGAACCTCAATTGTCAAGGCCCTTTCCCCCAGAGAGGACTCTTTGTTCAAAATATTATTAGGTGATCTGAAAATGAGCCACTGATTACATCTCACCCAAAACTGACGTTTTCTGTGTTGCCATGGCATCGAGGCTGTCACCCAAGAGCTATCGCATTCTAACATTGGCAGACTCTGTAGGAAAAGGGTGTCACAGCACATACCCACATTCACAAACACAGATGTGTTAGTTAGACGGCCCATAGCAGCATCAATGTTTGGTCAGGATGTTTGGACTCGGGCTACAACGAGCATTTACCAGACAAAATAGAATTTGTACCAGCTCAGTCAAAATATGATCCACTTCAGCAGATGCAGGCAGCTCCATTTGGTCTCATAAAGCAGGCAGGCTGAGGACCCATTTCACTGCTTTGTCGATACCATTTTACCATCATGTTGCAGCATCAGTTTACCTCCTTGACACAACAGAGTTTATTTTTGGCAGTTGCACACGTCCGGCTGTTTTTTTCCCCAGTGTAACCCAGGTGAGACACTGCTGAGACGCTGCCATGTGCCATCGTGTCGACCTGCGTAGAGGCATACCAAGCAGACTTCATCTCATTAACTTCTTCTTGCAGGGCTGCTTTCCCTGATTCCCTGCCCAGGCGTGGATTGCAGAGGCTTTCTCACATGAGCTCCAGCATAAGTTAGACCATCTGAAAACATATCCCCCATGACCTCACCGGCCGATTGGCATGCAGTATGCTGCATAAGGCTTTTCTTGGCGAATGCTGCCCCAGGGACACCATAGATATCCTCTCCTTACAGTATACTGCTGCTACTGCTGCTGCTGCTGCTTCTGCTGCTGCACATGAATGTCTGTCTCCATTGCTGGGGGTTGTTTTGTAGTGAGCTACCTCTATTAGGCACATATCCACCCACTGGTGTGCGCGTGTGGGTGTGGGCTGTCAGTCTGTTCTGTTCTCTGAGGGCGAAAAGACCTGCTCAGAGGTAGTAAACGAACATTTGATTGACTAAGAAGGAGATTATGGTTAATGCATCAGTAGATTATCTGTTTTCTTGTTTATCTGTGGCCCTCCCAAGTCGCCTCACTATAATGAACAGCCCAACCTGGAGGATAATGATTTTCTGGGGGTGTGACATTTAAAGATGAAGTGCGTGATTGATGAATGCATTGATTGATTATCTACTTATTTGTTCATGTACCTGATGAGTGCAACCTGTTATGCAGATCTCCGTGGAACAACCATAATTAAATGCAAATTAGGGCGACAGCAACAGATATTTCCTGCCCTGTCTCACCAGCGAGGGGCTGTCCTTTTGTCCTCACAGAACAAATTTTGTAGGGATTACCGTTGCAACCATTCTCTTCACGTTTGGCTGAGTTTTCAGCAGCGAAAAAAAGCCCCATCTCTACAGAGTGAATCAATATCACGTCTTCAGTGCCATTCCAGTCTGGAAGTAGCAGGTCCTCTCTGCCTCATTGCACATCCAGAGGCCGTGCCATTCAGAGTCAGAGCAGAACGTGGTTGGCACACCAACACGAGCACACTTGCGTACGCCTCAGCTCTCCTCTGATACACACAAACACCTAAAATAGATATTAAAGTTTCCACATAGGCACTTGGGCACCACTACACATGGCTTTAAAGTCATCTGCCATCTTTAAGTAAAGCCATGACAACATTTAATAATCAACTCCACAGTCCATTTCTCACCAGCGCAGATCTCTGCAGCACTGCACCCCAGACTAGAATCCAGCTCAGGGCTCTTGTGTGATTTCGTAAAGTTGTCCCTTGTAAAAATGGGTCGAGAAAGACATTGATTCATTGCTGCTTGATCAGCAGTATTCATGAAAATGTCACACCCAGCATGCTCTCTCCAATGATATCATTCCTCCCTTTGCTATTATGGGCCATTTATAGGCGACCTCTTTCCTGCCTTCTTGTCGGGCTGTGATACATTTTTACCCAGCTGTCAAAATGCAACTGTTGTCAGTGGATGCCACCGGGCTTCCTTCACTCCCCTACTCACATTAAAACGTGCCCCCACATGGCAAGCATGTCAGTCCCATCCCGTCTGATGTTTTCTTTACCCGATGATATTTTCCTCATACTCCCGACTGCCAAGGTTATTACACTGTGAGTTGTGTGTCACAGCTCCGGTGCAACAGAAGCTTTTGAAGCATGAAGCTACTCAGTTGGCAAACTCTTTGCTGAGGCAAGATTTTTATG